TTCTTTTTCTGACATTTTCTCATTTCATTTGATTTATTTGCTTTATTTATTTATCTTCAATTTATTTATTTTCAGACAAATACGTCTTGCCACCGGTGTGGACGTTAATATGCGAATTGGTGTCCATACAGGATCAGTGCTATGTGGAATCCTTGGACTACGAAAATGGCAGTTTGATATTTGGAGTGATGACGTCACATTAGCAAACCACATGGAATCGGCAGGAGTACCGGGGTAAGACAAGTGGCAGCGGGCAAAGATTACAAGCGCATACACTAATACTATAGACGAAATCACTCGTTGATACTCACTCCTTGTTGGGATTCGGCACGGGTTCCACTTCCATTCAGGATCGTAGCAGCTTATCGAGTATGATGTGGCCTACCAAATTATACTCGGTATCCCTAGGATCGGGTAGGCGTGGCCGCATGTTTCAACTCAACCTGACGGTTTTATGCTTCTGCTGGGATCTTGTCATCTTCACACAATTGCTGTCGTGTCTCTGTCCAGCACAGAACAACATGACTGTTTTCCTCAGACCGGAATATTCCGCGAGTAACCAATTCCGTGCCATGTTCAAATGCCGTGCCTACTTCGATCCAGGGATAAGGAGCGTAACTGCGGGGGCTGTACACGTACGATGTCATGTGCCCATCCTCTCAGGCGGAGCTCGTACCAATTCACTGTTCCTGTGGGTTGAAAGCTTGATTGACCTGAGCGGATCGATCCAAGGATCTGCTTACGTGTGTGAGCGTGGCCCTTTGCTACTACACGACTTGTCTATGAAGCTGAGATAAGTAGAAGAGTGGGGACAAGCTCTTTTGTAGGGTCCTTAGGTTGCTACTTGCTTGCACCAGACAGTGCGTGCATAGGGCGCGTGGTATTAGATCGGCAGCGCTAGCCCTACGTGAGCGGCATGCTGAGCACTTTGTGATAAATCGCTGGCAATGAGTATGTCAAATTAGCTAGCTAGGAAACAAAGGCTAGTTACTGCTCGTGAAAAGATGAGGCTCCTGAACTCTGCGCTTGCAGTTCAACGCTCAGAGGACCTGTCATCATTGATCCGTAGCATTGCTAGGACGCATGGGTAGTGCAAAAAACTGGATGCGGTTTGGTGTACCAGAAGGGTGTACTCTGAGCCCGGCGGCCCTAGAGTCGCGATCTGAGCAGTGCCACAACTGGTGGGAAACGCGGTCGCTGCCGGGCTCCTGTCTACTTGTTGGACACGCTCCGCCGTATCCAGCTGTATGAACTACATATTTAGCCCTTTGTAATTCCGTAGGAGAATTCACTGTTAAAGAAGCAGTGTTTCTGTTCCAACGCAGTCGGATGTACTCAGAAGACTTGATAGCTTGAGCGACATTCCCCCTTGGAGGTGCAGACGCGAGGAACGTCCCAACTGCCACGAGCAGACTGAGCCGAAACCTTACTAGATAATTCTGGAATATTACCTTTGCTTGCTATCAATGCGCAGATTTCAGGGCAGTGCACATTACAAAGACAACAAAAGACATGCTGCTCGGTGATTATTGCATAGTTGATGCAAAGTGGGTGCTCACTCTTTTTCAGAATTTCTTTCGTTTTTTATTCTCAGTTCAATACTCCTACTTGCAGGCCTCATTTATTCTGTTTATGTCAAAACGTTACCGTATCTTTTGTAAGATTACATATCTTTTCAATCTTGACGAAGCCCATGTTTTGGCCTAATGGTGTAACACTACATACCATATTTCTCTCCGGACAAACGTCTGCAGTCGAAGCGAAACCTGTCATCCCATCTACAAGAATAGGTAGTATTGGATACTTTAAACGTGTTTAACGCAAATTAAAAAAAAAAAGTAACTGAACCAAAACTTGAGGACCAACTAGAAACGAGGCATTTTTTGTATTCCAGAAGATCGTTGGGCCTTTGTGACGGCGAAAAAACTCTCACACTTCCAAACAACGCTACCGTAGTTCAATGCAGACACAGCATGAAGGCCAAAGTTGGTAGCTCTGTCTTCGTTATTCAATGTCTTCTAAAAGATTCACCAATACTTCTAAGGTCTCAAAAATGGTCGAGTTTTGGGGTGCGGAAACTCCATTTGCTAATTTCAATCGTAAAAAATCGTCTACCTGCTTTGAACCTGGCCTTATGACGGTGGGTTTCGAAGGAAATTGATTGATTGCTTTTAGTCTTATAATGCAATTGCCAGGAGCATTTGTTATCATTGACGACCTATATATGGGCTCCATTTCAGGACGAAACTCCTCGTCGACCTAACTACAGCAATACTATCCAGTCGATGACACTGATTGAGAACAGTCTCACAAACTTCTCTCTGAACAAGTGAGATACTAAAATAGCTCTTCACTCTCTTGAAGGCAGCGGGCACGACCGTTGAGGGCGGAAGGTTGTCGCCAACGACTTTGGTGGAAGTGCTGGATGAGGTGTGACAAGACGTCCCTCTCACAGCCCTTCCACCAGTGACGCTGGCAACAACCGCTCGCTTTCAGCAACCGTGCCCACTGCCTTGCAACAGCTCAAAGTATGAAAAGTGAATGGTTGCAAAAACGAAAAGGATGGGTGTTAAAGTGGTCTTGGAGAAAGAAGTATAGCTCAGCGTTTCTGAATTGCTGCATCGCGCGCAAACTGTAGGTAAGACCGTAGGCCGGCCGTAGGAAAATTTTCTGTCTGGTTGTCTTGTCACAGTGCAGCACATTTACTTTATAAATTCAGTTAGGTCCTGTTGCGAATGTCGCGCATGGAACACAGTTAGCACCCCGCGTCTTTTGGTAGCTTTGGATTAGAACTCCGACTAAGACGGAAAACCCAATTGATATTTTCTCTTGGGATTGGAAGCCCTCCATTGAAGTAGTCGCTGGGCGGCCTGACTCCGCCCATACAGCTGACTGGAGACTCTACCCTGAAGGCGACTCTCGTGCCGAAGGTACGGTGTATGGATAGATACATGGCTAAGCCCCAGGCGACCGGCTACTAAGGGCTACGCCATCTTTGCGGCTCACTTTTGGCAGCGGGTCACCCTAATCATGCCCACCGCAAAAAATGTAACCTGCGACAAAAATGCAATGAGGCTGTAATCATAGCATAATGAAAGATTTGCGTGTTGTCCAACATTTGTGGCACGAACCGAGGTAGAATTAGCCCCGATTTTTAAAGGCGAGATGTGACGACATCCCAATAATATCTCCAAACCAGTCCGAATAGTTCTTTGGCTGCTCGGCTCATAATTCGAACAATTACGCATTCAATTCAACTTGCGGATAATGGGGCGTGTAAAGAGAGAAGGACTTGGCGAGGCGCTAGCCGTTTTTTTATTCTATACTTTCTCCTTTCGGCAAGTGACTGTTATATCGTTCGTGTCTTCGTTTTCTACCAGCTGTTGCCACTTACCCGCTTCTACAGAGAAGGAGCTGGCGGGCCGAACCAGCCTCACTGGTGGCTGGGGGTCACTGGGGTACGCCCAGTCATCCACAGCCTACTGTAATTCGCCTATGTTTATCGGCATTTCAAAATATATAAGTATATAAGTGTGCTTTTTCTCCTAACCTTTTTTCTTCTAGCATCAATAACATGTTCAACTGTCGTCATCCAAAGAGCCAAGTATCACCATATCTTCTCTGGCCGTTTAGGTGAGTATCCATCACCCGTTTTGTTTCTACGAAACTTACCACTCATTTTCTGGTTGCGCATATATTTATTATTTCTGTCTATAGTTTCTTACTGTTTCCAGTAACAAAGCAATTATATGCAATTTTTCCGACTGTATGATGTTTTTATTTCTATCCTTACCTGCAGCCTTTGGCAATATAATGGTTTGCCGGCTTTACTGTCCGTGAGTCTGTTATGGTTGAAATTTGATGGCAGTCAGACTTGAAAAGGACAAGAAAATTACTTCAGCCCGAGAATAGGAAATTTCAGGAAAGCAAACGCCAAAATCATAATCTATGAATTTAAACGAAATTTGGGAACCTGAACTCGTTGAGCATGCTGGTGAATGCGCCACATTCCGGACCCAGGGCACAGCATCGTGATGTATGAAATGGTGGTATGGATACGACCCGCTTTTCTCAGGGGGGGCGATGTCTTGGAAGCGACTCGCCCCCGTCAACCATAAAGTTAGGGTCCGGGTACGACCCCCTCCCCCTTTCCCAACACCCACCTTTCAGTTTCCCCTATTTTCCAGTTTTTCACCCAAGATTTTTCGTCGATCGTTAGTACCATGAGACAGGAGAAAAAATCGCGCGAACCAGCACTCAACCATAAGCCACGAATAACTTTTTCTCCAACATGGCAAGTTTCTCATAAGAAAATACCCCCCCCCTCTCCGTCGGCAGCAGAAAGTACGACCAGCGATGCTGTACCCTGTCTGGACCGCGTGACAGCCATAGAGTGTCGTGGCTCCTAACTCCTTTCCAAAATTATGATTTTAGGGCATCCTTGTTTGTCTGCACAAATGCCCAAACAAACTACGACCAGTCAAAAACACCATTATGTCACAGTCAGCGCTTGAACTGGTTGTATGATGGACGTAATGCTCAAGGGAGAACCTCGCACTATTCATTGGCCTCGACTGAGCTTTATTGACTATAACCTCAGGAAGGTGGAAGTTGGAAGTGTGAGCACGAGCTCGCTTACATTCCTGACTCGATAGTTTTAAATTGTTGCTTGTGGGATTCCTTGGAAGTTCAATTTTGGTACAGGAAATGTAGGGACGATTTCATCCATTTCTCTACTAGAAGCCAACAACCAGTTTATACACGGAAGATGTTCACGACTCACCTCCTCCTTGTTCATCACCGATTGGGCTCGATCTTTCTCCACAGGGAGTAGTATCTGAAACAGTAAAATAAATTTTGACAACTATGTTCGACGTTTGTGAGGAAAATCAATGACGCTTAACCTTGGTAGTATTTGAAGGACTCGTTGTGTAAAAGTGGGGCAGGGCACATCGTTGCTGGGGAATTCCCAACAGGGGGGGGGGTCGTATCTAGGCCGTGAAAAATTTATTTTGATAGTCGATCCCCCCCCCTCGACAGCTGGATTCGCGACAAAGCGACAGAGGGCCAGAGGAGGGGGAGGTGGTCCGAAGCAACATCCAGAAAAAGGGGAGGGTCGCACGGACTCGACTATGATGTGCCCTAAAGTGGGGCTCGGAACTTATGCTAAACACCACGCCACCACTCCACGCGCGAACTTTGGAAGCTCGCGCTATTCTCAGGCTGAGTCGTTCAGTGCCCTTTTTTGACTGAAGTAGCACAAAGTTCCGTGTGCAGAACTAGCTACAGGCCGCTTGAAGTGATGTTTGAAATGCCCTTCCCTGCCTTACTGGAATAGCGTATGAAATGCGTTTGGTCAGCCAAGTCCGTGAGCTGTACATCGGATAACCCTGTGAGGTAATTGTGGAGGACAAACGACAAATACATCCCCTAATGCTAATACGATCCTGAATCGAAATGGAATGTCTGGGCACACCCAGAAAGGAACAGCTCTATGATATGTGACTCAACAGCTCGCCTTCAACACAGGCTGTGATATATGCTACTAGCCAGCAACATCCAAAACAGGCATCACAACTTGAATGATTTTTTGCATTCAAATGGTAATCC